CTGTGTAAAGCGTACAGTGCATAAACTGTAATATCTCGAGAAAGAAAATTGATATGAATAAACTGTTTTAGAAGATTTTCATGGTAACGTTCAATGAAAATATAATATAAATGGCGCAATTTTCCAATCATAAGCTCTTACATTAAAAAGCAACAAAACAATTTCTATTGTGCTGCTTGATGGGCTAATAAACTGCAATGATTGGGAATGACACACGTTTTTCAATGAAATAAAACCTGTGTCTTACTTTTTCTTTGGTTGTTGCATTTTTATTTTATAGATTGCAGCAGGCATGACGTGAAAACTAGACATAGAAATGTTTGCTGTAGCTGTTGGTGTATCTGGAGAAAGTGGAGTTGGATCTGTTGGTCATCCCATTAAAATAATTGGCGAAAATGAAATTTTTTATCTTCATGTATCGGCCAGTATCCTTTAATTTCATGAATAGTTTGTGTGACAGGAATGTTTATATTATAAAATTCATGCTCATACAGAGAATGAGAACAGTCTTTACGTTGCATAAAAATATATAAGAAATGTGATGACCTATGTCTGTGTAGGTAGTGATGAATGAACAACAGAGAATGAGAACAGTCTTTCCACTATATAAAACACATAAGAAATAAGACAACATGTGTCTGTGTAGATAGTGATGAATAAACAACAGAGAACGAGAACATCTTTACCCCACATAAAATATGTAAGAAACAAGATAACGTGTGTTTCTGTAAATAAAGATGAATGAATGAATGAGCAACAGAAAACAAGAGCAGTCTTTACACCACATAAAATATATAAGAAATAAGATAACATGTCATTGTAGGTAGTGATGAATGAACAACAGAGAACGAGAGCAGTTTTCAAACGATGCAAAACATATAAGAAATAAAATAAAGTGTGTCAGTGTAGATAGTGACGAATGAACAACAGAGAACGAAAACAGTCAACTTAGTTACAAATCATAGCATTCTTTAACGATATTGTCAGCTATTTTAACTGCTTATGAGTATGACAATCGTTCAAATTCGTTTCCCCAAGGTTATCTCAGTAAAGGAACACGTATGATTGACAATCGACCTCCATCAAGAGACGCTATTCGTCCTCGAAGAAATCATATGTATTCTGATGTTTCCAAACGATTTTAAACTTCATAGATTGTTCTATGTATTCTGCGTATAGTTTTTATCATTGAGTAATTTTTATTGCATAAGTTATAAATTTTATTTATATCTTCTTGTGACCCGAAAGTTACAATCGCTTTCAAAATTATGGCATCATAGAAGCTGATTACATGAGCCCGCGGTAACTGGAGTTCAGAGAGGCGGGAAATGATTTCGAGTCATCGAAAGGAGCAAAAATTTTAAGCGCAAAACTTTTCTTAAGCGTAGTTGTAATTTTCAAATCATGCACAATCATTTGTTTTCATTTTAAAGATTTTGTAAATTTGCAAAGTCAGAGCATAGAGAAATTGCTCAAACAAGTTTTTTGTCGTGAAGTATTTAATCTTTCCCATTTACCAAAATGATTTAATGCTTCGCTGAATCCCGTCTACCGGGCTCATGTGAACAGCCCCTTAAATTTGTATTCGAGTTGTATTTACTCGTTTTAACTGAATTTTGACTATCATTGATGGTGTTCAAAGCGTGTATTGTTTATGGTCAGCGAGGGATTAAAGAAAAGAATAAAGCTATTTAATTGTGAAGTCTGTTTTTTAATTTATTCAGTGAACCTATGTATGAATTTGCTTTGCAAATACATATGGTAGTTTTACTGTCGTCAAAGTTTTCGATGGTTCATCAAAAGTTTTCACAAGTTAGTGGTAAGACGTGGCCTTTGTGAGGAAAAGACTGTCAACACAACAAGATATAAAATGGAAGGATGGAATAAGCTAAAGCTTAAAATAACAAACTTCGAGAATGTGAAGAAAATAGCGAAAGATTTACTTGTTTCTTAAGTATTGACGATGTAACAGTCGAAGAAGATAGCTATTAACAACTGGCTTGGTAAACTTGCCCTCGAGGTAATGTAGTTTTAATAAATTTTAAAGCGGAAACATCCAGCCATTAACGTTTCCCTCACCAGAACTGTGAAGGACTCAAGTGCTGAAAAGTCAACTGAAACAAGTTAACGCAATTTCTACACTCGACTGGCAAGAAGAATGAAATGTTGAAATAAGGCGTATTAGCTTTAATACTGATTAAGGATGTTTAGTCCAAACGTTCCTCGTAAATATATTGATGATATGCACTTGTTTGTGGGATGGAGTGAAAACAACCCTGGTGTCGATTTTTGTGTATTACAGGTGAAATAATGACGTCATTGCCAGATGATGTTGACGACCAAGTAAATGAAAGTATGAAGCTGAGAGCGCAATGGATGACGGTAACATGTGATGGTCAGCGGTTTTTACAAAACGATGGTGGTAGCCAATGTTTAGGAAATTACGTGAAACAATCTCTAGCGACATGTCCAGATACACGACAGGTAATTATGTTCAGGACCGTCCCGAGAACGTTGATCGGGGGTTGTATATTCATATACTTAATTTTGGTCGACTGGTTTCTTTTGAATGTGAATTACTTAATTCCTTAGGTGAATTGCTTTCAAATGAAATGAGTAGGCACATCTGAATACATGAATAAAACACCACCACCCCCATTAACTATCCACCGATGGCCCTGATTATGTTGTAGAAGCCTTGAAAACAGCATTTTAAATGGTACTTTTAGTTTTTCTTTTGTTTGAGACGATTTTTTATTGTCCTGACATATTGCTTTTTTCTTACGAAAACATAATTATCATTTACATGTAAGCTCCATATGATCAACATAACCATGTACGCAATTATCATTTACATGTAAGCTCCATATGATCAACATAACCATGTACGCAATTATCATTTACATGTAAGCTCCATATGATGGAAGCAGAAATTCTATTGCTATTACTAAACAGTCAAACAAAACAAAGAGCAAGGAAGGCTTGCTTTTTACTGCTACATATTTTTCTTGTTGTTAAGTTTACTAAAGCTACATTATGATATGAACGATTCATGTTGTAATTTGACAAAAAACTGCTTCATGTTTATTGTGTAAGAGCAAATATATTTACTGCTGTTTTGATATTTCTAAGAGCAACCATTAATTCTATTTATTACTTGTCTATTCAAGTTCGACATAAATTTTCTTCTTGAATGTTTCTATAAAAATTGCTTAGATTTACAAAACGAGGGAAGATAAAGTCATCAAAGTTATTCGACATGACAGCACTCAAGTCGTAGCGCATTCGGACGGCACTCGTATTACTACGTTTTACGATATAACACGAGTAGAGTTGCAACCTCCGAATGCAGAAACTGGCGAAGAGGCTGAGTACGAGTCACGTGTTACCACATATGTCAAGGTGGAATGTGAGGGTTTTGCAACCGTTACCATGGAGACAGAATATGGTTCATGTCAAACGCTGTTTGGTAACGGTAGCTCCATACACACGATGACAAATGGTGAAAGTATTGTCGATATATATGATGGTTTTAGGATTTTGTGTGATAGTAAAGGTATGTTGTTAAGAAGTGATAGTTATAGGGGATGACAAATGGTGAAAGTGTTGTTGATATATATGATGGTTCTAGGATTTTGTGTGATAGTAAAGGTATGTTGTTAAGAAGTGATAGTTATAGGGTACACATAAGGACATTAAAGTAAAGTGTTGTTGATATATATGATGGTTCTAGGATCTTGTGTGATAGTAAAGGTATGTTGTTAAGAAGTGATAGTTATAGGGGTACACATAAGGACAGTTGATTTATAGGGAGGGTTAACAATCTTTGAATTATTTTCACTTCATAAAATAATTTTGTCTAATTCAAGAGAGGAAAATCAAAGTAAAGTGTTGTTACTTTATATGTTAGGTAACGTTTCCTACTTTCCTCGCGACTTAAATGAAGTTAATCATGATCATGGTGGTGATGACGTCAATTCTGTCAGGAATCGTCAGGGGGGTGTTTATTATCTACGCACTACGTCACAACATTGCTGTGATCATAAGGACAACTGTGGAAATACATTCTCTGTGTTTAGTAATGGTGATATAAAAGTTGATAAAGTCAATACTACAGATACAACAGAAAAAGGTGAGACACCATTAACTTAACTCTACAACTTGAGTTTTTCTTTTAAATACCAATCATTCATTAAGTTTTTCAAATAACATTTTCTTCGAATCATATGACAGAGTTATAACACATATTCGGTTTTGTTGTTATTTCTATAGCAGACATTTTCCCCGTCCCACGATTCTTTGTGATGCGTCGTGATGGTACTGGGTTTGAATTGTTACGTCATCAAGACGTTGACGAATACTTGAAAGCTGCTGAAGATAACGTTGCTACGGCTGCTTTAAGAACTCCTGTTGAGAGTTTACCAAACGTCTCCGGAGTTACTGTACTAAAACCTTTCTCAGGAGGAGAAGGAAGAAAATGGCTAAAACACAAAGATGAAAGTAATCTTGTTCCGCTTGCTTTACGGGAAAGAGACTTCACGCAGTTTCCACCGATAGAAAAAAAGAAAGATGGACCAAAATTTGGTACCAATGCAGGTGGTCTTTATTTCATTGTTATATTGATGTTTCATTTGAATTTTGGTCCAAAATTTGGTACCAATGGAGGTGGTCTTTATTTCATTGTTATATTGATGTTTCATTTGAATTTTTGGTATTTTGAGATTGTTTTTTGATAAATCGATAGTTTGGTTTATGTTGGCAAAGTTAAGGGTTTGCAGGTGTACTACAGGGATATCAACGTTCATACCTGTTTGTGTGTTGCAGGATTAAAATGGTTTAATTTAGGGGAGGGCACCAGTTATTATCCTAATTTTCCCGCTCATTTTTCTTCTTGTTTCAGGTTGTGGACTAGTCATTGGCAACATGAGAAAGCCCGTTGATGTAAAACCATTATTAACTTGTCCCAAAGTCTTGGTTTTACGTCATTTTGTTCAATATGAGCCTTCAGACATCGTACATCGCAAAACTATTTCAGCGGCATTCCGTCAATATGGCGAGTACGTGACAAAACTTCAACTTCAGTGCGATAACTGTCTACCGGAGGAGTCACGTGACACGGAAGAAGTAAAAATAGCAAATGGATTGAAAAGGTAAGCGCGGTTATATTATGATACGAGACTGCCTCTATATTTTTATTACATCAAGTAATATATCATAGTATTACTTATAGTTACACTATAGGAAAATTTTAAGATGACAACAGTAAAGATTGTTGTCAAATTATCAAATTTTATTTATAATGACGTTAATGTTACTCACTAATCATGTCATAGTGCACATAAATAAAAGTCAACATGGAAATGCATATTTTTCTACAAATCTATAACCATTTTATACGACTCATTTAAAGTTATATTTTGTACTGCACTGAGCTTAGATTTCTTCACGGATCTCCTAAAGTGAATGTACATCAGTGAATTCATTTGTTTTTTGAACTATGTTTTCCACCAGGTGCAAGAACTTTAATAATAGTTAGGGTAACAGAGTTTAATGATAGCCATGTTCAGCATTTATAAAGTTCAGAATCTCCGAGAGTGATGGAGTTGAGATCTTTCTCTAAACCCCCATTCTAGTTAGACACACGTTTTTAGAGAAGTAAAATCATGCAAGGCTCCTTTAAGAAAAAACTTTGGGGTCTCTGTTACAGACCTTTAAAGTTGAGAACAGTTTAGAAAATCTGCCTGGCAGATATTTAAAATCATAACGTCCTATTTCCTCAAGAGAAGCCTTAAGCCTCACATTTTATCTTGGCGTCCCTAAGAGAGACAGTTATCATTAGATTTTTTTTGTGTTATGCTAGAATGTTCTTTTCCGTTTCTTTTTATTCTCTTTTCTATTGATTACCCAAATGAATTGCAACATCGCGCAAACATTTGTTTGAAAGATCTTCTGTATTTCTTATCTCGTATTCCATAAATGAAAGCATTTGTAATGGAGTTTGTTGCAGCCAGAAGCGAAATTCCAATGTGAACTTTTAAGGGATACAGCCATGATTGCAAATGACAAACTCGATAAACACTACCACAGGAAACGGTGTTACACAGAATAAAAAACAACCAAAAACGACACGGATTGTTTTGAAGAGTTTCGCCTGTCGTAAAAACTTTTTTCTTGAGTTGAAATGATCTGCAGCCGATGAATTATTTGTTTGTGATAATGAAGCTTGTGCTGCTATTTGTTTACCTTGACTTCGAGCAATTTGTACAGTTTTCACATCAAAAACGATCGTAACACCAAGTGGAACAAGGAAAAAGAAAAAGTAGCAACGGAAGCAGCTATTTTGTTCATCTCACATATTAATGGCACATCGCTAGGTTTCGATGTGAAAAATATCATAAGAAAATTAAAAAAGCCAGTGATCCATACTGAAACCAACGCTATAGACACCTTTCTTTGGGTGACAATGTGAGGATACTTTAGGGGTAATGCAATACAAATGTAACGATCAATTGTGAGCATCATGAGATTCACCAGAGAAAGCGATATACTTGCGCACAAAATGGAAATGAATAATTCGCATGGTAGGCCTGTTTTTTCTTTCAAAGCGAGTGTCGCTTTGAAAGAGATAGCCGTCGGGAAAGAGATCCCACAAACGACAAGATCCGACAAAGCCAAGTTAATAACAAAATGACTGGTCGTGTTTTTATCTTTATTCCAACGAACATTGTGCCATATCACCAAAACGTTTCCTATAACTCCAATTATTATAAACAATGAATCAACTGTTATTAGAAATATCCCAAAAGTTTGTGATATTTGATCGCTTATAGAATTCATTGTTTTCATCAGTTTTTTGTCTCGTTTGTAAGAGAATCCTTGGATGTAATAAGAACAACAGCTTTCGTATCAACCTGAGTAGTCAAATGCTAATATTGAACTGCGTGCTTCATGACAACGTTAACACCAGATGTGTTTTGAAAACTTTATTTAGATGAAAGTTTATTAGCTAACATTGACATAACAAATTCATTTTTCGATAGTTTGATAAAGCAGTCATTACGATATGTTAAATATAATTGCTTTAAAACGTAATCATTTCTATTTTATGAGTGTTTCAGTTACAAATTTAAAGATCGAGGATAAAATATAAATGTGTTGTAAGAAAGAGAAGTGGCGTGGGAATAGTCCTATGTTATTTAGATAACTATGAAAAAAGGATATTCTTTAAAAGTTTACTACTGTGTCATAATGTGGAGTCACTTTCAATAATTCCGTCACAGATTGCATTGTCTCAGGTTAAATTACGATATTGCAAACCCCCTGTGGCCTTTTTTATTGAAAATACATTAAAGGAAAACACGATATTCTGTTTTTATTATTATAAATAACGAAATATTTCATCAACATTTTCTTTAGTTATTGCTAGCAAACGCCGGCTACTAACAATGAAGTCTCGCTTTATGATGGTCTGTTATGGCTTCATTACAAGGAGGTCACTTTTCTTTGAAGAGTTTTTATTAAAACGTAGCGGAAACGATTAAAATTCCTTATAGCGTGTAAAAATTTATCGTGTTAGAGACTAGAAAACGTCAAAAAATTGTGTGAACGTTAAGTGAACTAGAGCTGCCCTTCATGCTTAAACTTAGTAAAGCTATTGATTGACATGTAAATAATCCCTTTAAAAAACTTTGAAAAATGACATTGGATTAATGATACATTTCATCAAAACTTTTGAACGATATATTTTAGACAATATTATTTCAACCGTTTATAGATAAGAATGATAACAATCCAAATATTCCCGTTTGGATGAAGGAAGGATTTTATCATGTGTACTTTAGTTTTACAAAGCAAACTAAAGTATATGTAATAATTTATCGCAACTAATACTTTGAGTTCACCGGGAAATTTTTATTTCATTTTTAGTACGAGCGGGAAAATTCTCTGAAAAATGATGTCAAAGCTGATGTAAATGGTAATGTTTAAACTTGGTTTCTATTTAGTTTTTAATTTTCACTGTCGCTATCATGAAAACAATACATTCAATAATGTCGTTGTTTCTTTATTAAACTTCTTGCTGACTTTGTTGTAAAATGGTTGCGTCTTCCTTTGTCTATTTTGGAAAGAATCAGTTTACAAAAACCATCGTAATTCATACAGTTTTTATTTTGAACATAGAAAAGTCAAGTTATTTTATGTTTACTTTACTGCAGGTGTACAAGAAAAGTATTTGAAGTCTGTAGCACCTGTCGAAAAGCCCGCACCACCTGCGCCAGCCTGGAAACGCACGGCCGAGGAATGGGAACGAGATCGTATAGATTTGGCTAAACTGGAATACGGCAAACATGCATTACGTCATCGTGAAGTTCCGCCATATTTTGAAACGGCGAAGGGTCAAGCTTTTCTAAGTGCTTTAAATCGCGGTCCTGATATGTTGAAGCTCAGTGCTGAACTCGACAAACAAGCTTGTCCAGTTTCTAGTTCGCTTCACACTGCAATGAGTGCATCAACAGAAATTATAGATCAGAGGCATCAAACTTCTCATGGTACGTTACTGTACATAGTTAGAGAAACTCTTTTTAATTAATAAACGTACTTTTTCTTTCTTACTGCTATAGAAAATGTTCCGCAATATTCAAACTGGTCTAGGTCAGCGGTTTTAGAGAACCCAGATCTTGAAAGAGGACAATCGCCTGGGGATGTCTCTCCAGTCGAAAGTAGTACACCTTTGTCAGTCGTCCAGTGAATCCTACTCCTGCACAAGCTGGTGGTGTACCTACCTCCCCGTCGACACGACCCACCAACCCCACCCCCCGTCAAGCATCGACTGTCTTGAGCAATGAAAGTGTTTTAGATTCCCCCCGTACCAAACAATCTATAGTCCGAAGTTCGACTTTAGAATCATTGTTGGAAATGCAACATGAAGTATTGAGTTCAGATGTTACGTCATCAAGTAAGTGATAGTTGGTGCAATGTGTAGTACGTAAAAACAGCCTTTATGTTTATGTTATCGTTACACAGAGACATCTTGTGATAATCATGACAATTTACCCAACGTTATCATGGGTGGAAAACCTGGTGCTCTACCAAACTCTCAGGTGAGATGATAACAAAATTTTTAAATATTGCACACAGGCAAAAGTTTAATTTGCTTGTGAGGTCACAGATTACGTTGCAATTACCTCGGTATCAACCATTGATATCGAGGCATTGGTGGTTCAGTGGTAGAATTCTCGCCTGCCACGTGAGAGGCCCTGTTTCGATTCCCGGCCAATGCATCTTTCTTTTTGAACACTTCAACTTTATTTGTTTATTGTATTTTTAATTGGCTCTCAGTTCGTTTCTTCACTTAACATGTGCCTTCAGTGCTTTTTTACCTGGACGGTGGACTAGTTGTGCTAAGCAGTCGCTGAATAGTGAAGGTTGCGCTATTTATGCAAATGCGGGATTCGTGCCAATTCTTAAAAAGGTGCAATGCGCAGACATTTCTTCCAAAATAATTTTAAATTTGGTCAAAATCATATTTATAGCTGACAGTTTTTTTTGCATTGGTCCACATTTGCATTGGTCCACATTGGTCCAACTTTATGATGCTTTCATTTCATTTTGTTATTTTGACTGTTTTATAGAATCGTAACAATTTTTTTGCATGAAATTATTTGTCTTTATCGGAAAAAGTTGCTCAATTGGTAATGATTTGTCATCGCAAGTCATTACAAAAATATTTTCTGAAGGAATTTATGATGAAATCGTAGAAAGCGGGGCTCAGGCGGGAATCGAACCCGCGGCCTCTCGCACCCAAAGCGAGAATCATACCACTAGACCACTGAGCCTTGGTTCTTGAAGAATTGTGGATGATGTTTTAAATAAAATAATGAAAATGCCGGTAAAACAACGTGAACTTTGTTGTAAATTCGCACGTATCGTCGACGTTGTCTTCGCAACTATTACAGGTCGTGACCTCAAATTTAGTGGTTATTTTCACATGTAATTAAACACTTGTTGTGTTGGCTATTAATAACATTAGAAGATTTACTCATAAAAATACAGTTTCCCCCCAAAAAACAGAGCTCTTGTTGCTGAAATTTTCGTCCCTTAGTTGTAGCTTGCTTCAAAAATTGCTTGAGCAAATTTTAAATCGAAAATGGCTTCCAAATACGACATGTGAAAATTCGTTTCTATTTTCATATCAACTCAAATTATTTTCTACTGAATTAAATAAGATAAAATGAAGGGCAGATATATAAAATTTGAAAATACGTTATATTTTCTTTTGAAAAATCTTTGAAATTATCAGTGTTTGTAAACGACATAGAGAAACTAATTTTTCATGTCAATCAATCAGAAACCCATGTTTTATAATTCCATTTTTTGTTGTTTCCTTGATCCTTTTTATTTCTTATTCTTCTCTGGGATATCAGTTTTTAAAGATAGAGGATCCTGTCCGACGTAAAGTTCAAACTGCTTCTGTTATTGGAAAGAACAACACAAGAGGTTTTGAGCTTTCTCCACCAGAGGTGGACATGTGGGTACTTAAAGAAGGTCACACGTATGTACATTCGGTGATATTAAGGAACATTGGTATTGATAGCTGTAGATTCAAAGTACGACAACCTTCTCCATCGACTGGTATCAAAGTTTTGTTTAATCATGGTCCTGTAAGTTTTTTGTTTTCAATTAATTATATATTCATAAATACCCTTTCTACCGCTTATAATCCCCTAAGTATACCCCCTTTACCCTCAGTATAAACTACTGCGTGATAATTTCAAGGCATACGACTCGAAAATTTTGCTATTTAAATTATATTTTCTCTCAACAGGATTTTGAAACTGACAGCGTATTTTCTCAAACAGTGTACGTATATTGCTTCTCATTCTTAAGATATTGAAGTTTTTATAATTTGCTTTACACAAATTTTTACATCAATTTGCATTTATCAAAGTTTTAAGCATCCTTTGGTTTCGTTGAAATTATCAAGCATTATTTAATACCATTAGGGAGAGAATGAAGGGAATTCAACTCTGTTGAAGTAAAATATCAGCAAATGTACCTGCTATTTCAAATTACCGTTATGCAATGTGACGTCACATGCTGTGTAAAGCGTACAGTGCATAAACCACAATATCTTGAGAACGAAAATTGATATGAATAAACTGTTTCGAAGATTTTATTACATAAATTATAAATTTTATTTATATCTTCTTGTGACCCGAAAGTTACAATCGCTTTCAAAATTATGGCATCATAGAAGATGATTACATGAGCCCGCGGTAACTGGAGTTCAGACAGGCGGGAAATGATTTGGAGTCATCGAAAGGAGCAAAAATTTTAAGCGCAAAACTTTTCTTAAGCGTAGTTGTAATTTTCAAATCATGTACAATCGTTTGTTTTCATTTTAAAGACTTTGTAAATTTGCAAAGTCAGAGCATAGAGAAATTGCTCAAACAAGTTTTTTGTCGTGAAGTATTTAATCTTTTCCATTTGCCAAAATGATTTAACGCTTCGCTGAATCCCGGCTACCGGGCTCATGTGAACAGGCCCTTAAATTTGTATTCAAGTTGTATTTACTCGTTTTTAGTGAATTTTGACTACCATTTACGGTGTTCAAAGCGTGTATTGTTCATGGTCAGCGAGGGAATAAAGAAAAGAATAAAGCTATTTAATTGTGAAGTCTGTGTTTTAATTTATTCACTGAACATATGTATGAATTTGCTTTGCAAATACATATGGTAGTTTTACTGTCGTCAAAGTTTTCGATGGTTCATAAAAAGTTTTCACAAGTTAGTGGTAAGACGTGACCTTTGTGAAGAAAAGACTGTCAACACAACAAGATATAAAATGGAAGGATGGAATAAGCTAAAGCTTAAAATAACAAACTTCTAGAATGTGAAGAAAATAGCGAAAGATTTACTTGTGTCTTAAGTATTGACGATGTAACAGTCGAAGAAGATAGCTATTAACAACTGGCTTGGTAAACTTGCCCTCGAGGTAATGTCATTTTAATCAACTTAAAGCGGAAACTTCCGGCCATTAACGTTTTCCACTCACCAGAACTGTGAAGAACTCAAGTGCTGAAAAGTCAACGAAACAAGTTAACGCAATTTCTACACTCGACTGGCAAGAAAATGAAATGTTGAAATAAGGCGTATTATCTTTAATGCTGATTAAGGATGCTTAGTCCAAACGTTCCTCGTAAACATATTGATGGTTTGCAAAGGTTTGTGGGATGGAGTGAAGACAACCGTGGTGTCGATTTTTATGTATTACAGGACAAGCAGGGTTAAGGTTTTGAAGAAGACACCAGTTATTATCTTTATTTTCCTCTCACATTTGTTACTGTTTCAGGTTCAAGACCAATCGTCGATAACATGAGAATGTTCATAGTTGTAAAATCATTAATCACCTGTCCCAAAGTCTTGGTTTTTGATCATGTTGTTTAATATAAACCTTCAGACAGTTTACATTGCCAAACCATTTCACCAGCATCCATCAATATGGCGACTTCGTCTATTTCAACGTGAGAGACATGACTTTGAAGATATGCAAAAAGAGATCAAAATTAGCAAGTAAATTGGTTAAAAGGTAATCACTGTTTAATCATAAAATAGTTATTCATATTCATGACGCGAGATTGACTTTATACATTGTTATTACGTGAAGAAACATATTATAGTATTACTAAGCAAAATTCAAAATAAGGTGACAGCTTCACAATGACATCATAGCTTGCTACACAATTTTACAGGAAGATAAAATCAAGGAAGATTCCTTAAAGAACTTTGCTCTCTGGGTAAGAGACTGTTTACAGTTGAGAATACAGTTGGAAGATTGTTTGTCAGATAAAACAGGGATAAGGCAATTTATTCACCAGTTATGTCATAGTGAACATAAATTAAAGACAAACTAAGCACCTTTCATAAAATTTAAGCCTATTTTATACAACTGATTTTATTAAGTTATATTTTGTATTACGCTACGTATTACTATACACTACACATTGGCTTTAGAACGTCGCTTTTAGAGACCATTAGATGTTTTTGATGTTACGAAATAAGGTTCTTTATCTTTCTATGAATTACCCAGATAAATTGCAACAACGTGCAAACAGCAGCTTGAAAGATCTTCTGTATTTCTTGTCACGTATTCCATATATAAAAGCATTTGTCACGGAGTTTGTTGCAGCCACAAGTGCTGTTATATGAACTACGTTTAAAGAAATACAGCCATCATTACAAATGGTATAATCTATGAACAATATCACAGGAAAAGGTGTTACACAGAGTAAAAAATATCCAAAAACGACACGAATTGTTTTGAAGAGTTTCAATTGTCGTGTGAAGTTTTTTCGTGAGCTCAAATCATCTGTAGCGGTTGAATTACTTCTTTGTAGTTTTGAACCTTCTGATGCTATTTTTTGACCTTGGTTTCGAGCAATTCGTACAATTTTCACATTGAAAACGATCATAACACCAAGTGGAAGAAGAAAGAATAAAATAGTGCAAATTGAAACAACTACTTTGCTTGGATAACATTCAAATGGTAATTTGGAACTTTTTGTATTGAAAAACATCATAATAAAACTAAGAAAGCCAGTGATCCATACTGAAGCCAAAGCCATGGACACCTTCCTTTGGGTGACAATGTGAGGATACTTTAGGGGTAATGCAATACAAATGTAACGATCAATTGTGAGCATCATAAGATTCACAACTGATGTCGATATGGTCGCGTACCAAAGGGAATAGTTCAGTTTACATAGTACAACAGATAGTTTGGTTATTCCTATCAAAAATTTAGTTACTGTTACGATAGTCAGCGGAAGAGTGATCCCACAAACGATAAGATCTGAAACAGCCAAACTTATAATAAAATAGCTGCTTGCATTTTTATCTGTATTCCAACGAACATTGTACAATATCACAAAAATGTTTCCTGTAACTCCAATAATTACACACAATGATTGACCCGTTACTTCAAATACTAAAAACGCTTGGGACTGCTCATCATTTGTATGATTCATTTCTTTTGCACACTCTTTATTGCCTCTTAGTACGATTGAAGGAACAGCTTTATATAGTTTCACTTTATTCCAAAGCCATCATCAGAGTATATATATATACATTAATCCTTAATATAGTCCTTAGGATTAATATCCTGGATGAATATAGTTTCACTTTAAGTTGTCAAACACCAGCTGAACTGTGCGCATCATGGCAACGCATCAAAACAACGCAGATGTGTCCTTAAAAGTTCATTTAGATGACAAATAATGACATAAAAACATTTTTTTACGATATTTTGGCATTTAAAATATTTTAAATAAAATTATTTTAAAATGTAGAGTTTCAAGTTGAAAACTTTCGAGTGTGTAATGTCAGTGTGTTAAAAACGACACGATGGATATATTATTCATGGGGTTTTGGTTATTGCTATGAAAAATTAATAACTTATGAAATTTTCTAATTTTAACAATGTAGAGGCGCACATGCAAAAGTTTCTCTACAGGTTGTTTATACTATCTTAATTGAAATGTCTTGTTGCAAACCCCTGTGGCTTTTTAGTGAAAATATGTTAAAGTAAGATATATTTTCTGTTTTGTTCATATAACTAAATAGCTGTTTCCCGAGTTCGAGGTTTTCTTTAGTTATTACAAGCAATCGTTGAAAAAGTAAAGTATATATTAACAATAAAATAGAGACTTTGTCGTGGTAACAAATCTGAAAATATTTTTAAAGATAGAAAATACCATTGTGAATGGTAAAAGTAATATAATAAGTTGATAGTTCTTAAAAGAACTGTTTTAGAAAAGAGCACTAACCCAATAGTTCTAAATTAAACGACATGATGCATGTGAGCCGACTACTCCTAAGGTGTCAACGTATTGAGCTGATTCTTATTCAGACGACAATTTTAGAATCATTAAGAAATACCGTTCATTTTTTCAGTTAAGCGTCATGAAAGATGTTTTAATTAAGTTAACCAATCCCGTCCTCCGCCGACAAAGGATTATGTTTTAATTTATCCCTGTTTTAAGCGTCATCTTCGCTTTTGGACATGGCATTATAAATATCGGTAGATTGTAAAATATCATTTAGCAGACGTTGACACTTGAGGTGTAGTCTGCCGAAGTGCATCATGTCGTTTAATTTAGAACTATTGGTTTAGTGCTCTTTACTTAAAACAGTTCTTTTAAGAACAATCAACTTATTACTTTTATCGTTCACTATGGTATTCGATGAAAATATATAAAATGAAAATATAAAATCTACTAATATTTATAATGCCAAGAAAGAGTACTTCATCACCAAAGGAGAGATGACGCTCAAAACAGCGATTAATTGAAAACATAATTTCATAAAATTTCTTTTAGAACTATTGGGTTAGTGGTCTTTACTTAAAACTGTCTGTTAAGAACTACTACCTTATTACTTTTACCATTCACTATGGTATTTGCTATCTTTAGAACTAAATATTAACACTAAAAATAAAGTCTCGTAGCTATAAGAACATGATATGACTTCGTGTAGAGATGTTAGAATCATTTTGCATATTGTGCATACGAAGATAAATGTCCAACTGTGTAATGAGTTAACGCTGACACATCATTACTACCTCTACACTCCCAATGTGACAATTCAACGAAATTAGGACAGTTTGAGAAATTTTTCGCAATTCGCAATTTCAGAAATGTTTACTGTTGTTTACGTGTTACGAAATATGTATAAATACTAAATGTTTTGTAAATATGCATATCATCAAAATTAAAAAGACGAAACTATGATTGTAGAATTATTTTTTAACTCCGACAAATAAACTTCTTTCAATAGAGTTATATAATTTATTGCCCGCGTTTTACGAAGGAGATCACGCGACAAAATTTTGTGTTTTTAGAGCTCTTGTTTGTCGTGCGACCAGCGTGTTAAACAATATTGAGCTACGTTTATCCTGATATTTTGAACACAAGATGTGTTTTTAAAAGTTTATTTAGATGGACTTGTCGTCGTTTTAAAATATAAAGAAGTATTTTAAAGTGCATTCATTTATATTTTATAAATGTTTACGTTTCAGGCTTAAAAATTCACGAATGAAATATAAATGCATCAAAAAAAGAAAGAATAGTTGTATCTTGTTTGTGATGCTATAGTTGTTGCCATGACTATGAACGGTTAGTCGAGTGGACTAACATGCTCGAGTGCATGCGCAGATGATTTCTATATTAAATTGTTACTAAGCATTCTATAACTCCAAAATCGGTACTAGTAGATGCAGTTGATCGTTGCCATGAACATGAACTTCGGCAGCTGCTCAAGTCGACAGCGCATGCTCAAGCACACTGCGCATGCGCAGATTAATAATCTGAAAATTTATGACTGAGCGCTCTTATTACTCCATAATCGGTACTAATACATACAGTTCGTCATTGTCATGATAATGAACTTGGAGAGTTGGTGCAGTTGATTACACATGCATGCTGAGATTAATTCTCAAGCGATGGAGCTCTGAAATTGGTGCTTATAGGTGCGTTTACCAAACTTTCAACCATATATTTTTTAAACGTACTTTGTCTTCTTAAGATTGTTTTGAGAAGTGCTTATTAAACTCGTCAACACTTTGTTACGCCACTCGTAATATTTGTGACAATGTTAGTGATTTTTAATTTTTCCATAACTTTGTATCTTAATATTTTGTGCATAAATTATGCTCTAATATTTTTCACAGATATTATAATTCGTCGATTGCGGTAGAAGAATACTTGAAAATGAAATTCTAACTGTGAAACAAAATCAAGCATGGCAGAGAAGGAACAACGACGCCAGTTTAAATGTAGCTTTATGAAATTGAACGTAGCTCATGCACATATCGTACGCTCGAGGGTTTTGGATGAGGACTCGTTGACCAATGAAAACACGAATGATTCCAAGCATGTCGACGACAATAAAAGCTCTAACAAGGACGATGCTCATATACAGAAACAATCCGTTAGTAAGAAGGAGTCTACGGAAGATATGTTTAAAAGAACAATCATTGAATCGTATATACATTTTGGAAGCTCGTTGGCTCACGTGGAATATAGTAGTGGGAACTGTTCATGATGTTGCTGAAAATATGTAAAAATAACTGCCTGAGACTTTTCTTTAGGACGAGGAATCTGATTTCGAAAGTGAAGAGGAAGCAATCACCACAAGAAACTTGCAAGAAGATTCAATGTGTACTCTGCAAGCTTTGTATACACATATAGAGTATTGTGAGAAGAGTACTCTAAGGAATGCTGTTGAAGAGGGATAGTACAAGGACAACAGGGAATGCCGTGGATTCTCAGTTTGATTGTAGAAGGATTAGTTCACGTTTATTCACAGGTATAGAAAAAAATATGAAGAATTTTTATTTATCTCAATAAATATATATAAAGACTTAATATTTGCTGTTTTCTCTAATTTTT